CCCCCCCCCCGCGCCCCCCCAGGCTCGGTGTCGGTGAACAGCCGCAGCACCCCGTTCCTGGCCAGCGGGGACCGCGACGTGCTGGACGTGGGCGCGGAGCTGTACCTGGGGGGGCTCCCCGAGGGCCGGCCCGGCCCCCCCGCGCCCCCCGAGCTCTGGGCCGCGGGGCTGCGCCTCGGCTTCGTGGGCTGCGTGCGGGACCTGTTCGTGGACGGGCGGAGCCGCGACGTGCGGGCGCTGCTGGGACCGGGGGGGGGCTCCGGGGGTCGCCCCGCTCTGCGCCCGCGACCCCCCCCGGCTGTGCGCCAGCGGCCCCTGTCGCAACGGGGGGACCTGTCGCGAGGGCTGGAACCGCTTCGTGTGCGACTGTCGCGGCACCGGGTACCTGGGGCCGCGCTGCGAGACAGGTGAGGGGGGGACGGGGACGCGCGGGGGGGGGTCCCGCGGGACGGACGGGTCACCCCCGCGGGGTCTGGGACCCCCCGAACACCCGGGGGGGGGTCACACCCGGGGAGGGGGTCCCCTGCTGCCTGTGGATACCCCCGGGGAGACGAGGGAGCTCCTGCACCCCCGGGTCCCCCCGACACCCGGAGAGGGGGGTCCCCAGAACAAGGGGGTCCCCAGACCGAGGGGGTCCCCAGACCCAGGTCCTCACAGGGGGGTGGTCCCAGCGCCGGGGTCGCCCCTCTTTTCCCCCCCCCGAGGCCGCAGTGCTGAGCTGCGATGGCAGCACGGGGGGGCTCCCCTGGGTCACCTGGGGACGGGGGTCCCTGTGCTGGGGGTCCCCGTGCCGGGGGTGATGGGGGTCCCTGTGCCGGGGGTCCCTGTGCTGGGGGTGACGGGGATCCCTGTGCTGGGGGTCCCTGTGCTGGGGGTGACGGGGGTCCCTGTGCTGGGGGTCCCTGTGCTGGGGGTGACGGGGGTCCCTGTGTTGGGGGTCCCTGTGCCAGGGGTGACAGGGGTCCCCCCCCTGTCCCCGCAGAGGCGGCGGTGCTGAGCTACGACGGCAGCATGTACCTGAAGGTGCAGGTGCCGGGGGAGCAGACGGAGGCCGAGGACGTGTCCCTGCGCTTCATGTCCCCCCGCGCCTTCGGCCTCGTCCTGGCCACCACCTCGCGCCACTCGGCCGACACCCTGCGCCTCGAGCTGGACGGAGGGCGCATGAAACTCACCCTCAACCTGGGTGAGCCCCCCCGGGACCCCCCCAAAACCCCTCCAGTAGGACCCGGCCCCAAAACCCTCCCTGAAACCCTCCCTGAAATTATCCCCAACGGGGCCCGAGTCGGTTCTCGTCACCCTGGAATGGCCAAAATAGTGCCTGGGACCCCAAAATAGTGCCCGGGACCCCAATATAGTGCCTGGGACCCCAAAATAGTGCCTGGGACCCCAGAATAATGCCCGGGACCCCAAAATTGCCCAGCTGAGCTGCTGCCTGGGATCCCGCAATGATGTTCAGGACTTGGTGCCCGAGTCAGTTCTCACGACCCCAAAAACGGTCGATTTCATTGCTGGGACCCCCAGACGTCCCCAAAACATTGCCCAGTTCAGTGTTTGTGGCTCCAAAACAATCAAGTTGGGGGCTGGGACCCCAAAACAAACAACTTTCAAAACCCCAAAATGGTCCCTGAACCAGTTCTCCTGACCCTGAAATGATCAAGTTCGTGTCTGGGACCCCCAAAACGGTGCCCAGGTCCCAAAAATGCTTCCCAAATGGTGCCTGAGTTGGTTCTCGTGGTCCCAAAATGGTCAAGTCGATGCCTGGGGCCCCAAAACATCCCCCGGTGGTGCTCACGTTGTTCTTGGCCCCCAAATGGTGCCCAGGTCCCAAAAATGGTGCCCGAGCCCCCCAGAACCACAGCCGGGCCCCCCCAGCCTGGCCAGGGGGGCTCACGGGAACCGACTCGTCCCCCCCGTCCCCGTCGAGTCCCGTCGGGTCCCCTCCACCCCCCACCCCCGGGTTTGGGACCTTCGTGACCCCCCCGCTGCCACTTGGGGCACAGCGCCGGGACCCCCCGAGGGGTCGAGGGTCCCCCCGAGAGATTGGGGACACCCCCCCAGGGTTGGGGGTCCCCCCTTCAGCCCCTTCTATTGGGGGGACCCTCATGGGGCTGCAGGTCCTCTGTGGGGTGGGGAACCCCCCCATGGGATTGGGGTCCTCCTGCGGGATTGGGGACCCCCCCATGGGATCGGGGACCCCCCCATTGTATTGGGGACATCCCCATGGTATTGAGGACATCCCCAGGGGATCGGTGCCTCCCCCATGGGATTGGGGACCCCCTGGGTCCCGGCCCTTGCCCCCCCCGCCCCGCAGCGGTTGACGAGGGGGGGCCCAGCCCTGGGTGCCGGATCCCCCCGGATCCCCCCGGATCCCCCCAGATCCCCCCGGATCCCCCGGGATCCCCCGGGCTGGGCCCTCAGGGCGGCCGTGACCCCCCACGAGGTGCCAGAGACCCCCCCCCAATCTCCCCCAGACTGGCTGCTGGCCCAATCTCAGCCCAGTCCCATCCCAATTCCATCCCAATCCCAGTCTGTCCCAGTCCAATCCTGGTCTCCATCCCAATCCTAGTCCCCATCCCATTTCCATCCCATCCCATCCCAGTCTCCATCCCAATTCCAGATCGATCCCAGTCCACTTGCCATCCCAGTCCAATTCCAATTCCATTCTCAGCCCCATCCCCCCCCCGTCCCCCCCCGTCCCCCCCCCTGTCCCCCCCTGGCACCCCCCCCCCCCGGCCGCCCCCCCTCGTCCCCGGGGCGCCCCCGGCGCGGCCTCGAAGGGCCTGACCCGTGTCTTCTCTCCCCAGACTGTGTCCGCGTGGGCTGTCACCCCAGTAAGTGCCACCCCCTCCCCGGGACACCCCCAGAGCCCCCGGGGAGACCCCCCCGGACCCCCCAAAATCCCCGGGGTCACCCCCCCGGGACACCCCACCGGAACAACCCCCCCGAGACCCCGGGACACCCCCTGGGGACAATCCCCGACCCCCTCGACCTTTCTGGAACACCCCAAACCCACCCCAGGAACCACCAACCCCCAAAACGCCTCCCTGACCCCCCCCCCCCAGTGCCCAGGTCACTCCCCGTGTGTGTGTCCAGGTGTGTGCCAGGAGTGTCCAGGTGTGTCCAGGTGTGTGCCAGGTGTGTCCAGGTGTGTGCCAGGTGTGTGCCAGGAGTGTCCAGGTGTGTCCAGGAGTGTCCAGGTGTGTCCAGGTGTGTGCCAGGTGTGTGTCAGATGTGTCCAGGTGTGTCCAGGAGTGTCCAGGTGTGTGTCAGGTGTGTCCAGGTGTGTGTCAGATGTGTCCAGGTGTGTCCAGGTGTGTGCCGGGGTGTGCCAGGTGTGTCCAGGTGTG